CATGGTTTTTACTAAAGAGAAATCGATTTTTTTTTAATTTAGAGAGTATTGGATTTGTTTGGAATCATTTGATAAATAATTTTGAGAGAAAATGATTTTTTAGGGTTATAGGTGTTTTAGGGGAAGTTTGGCAGTTTTTTTACGAGGGAATTCAACGCCATATGTGGCCACCTGAGACTTCAGGCTTTTTCTAAAAGGAAATTGAATTTTCTTTTTATTCTATTATCATTTTGGGATGAAATTATTTTTTTACGGTTGTAGATGTTTTAGGGGGAGTTTGGCAGTATTTTCTAGGAAAGAATTTAATTTCTTTTTATTTTTAAAGAGTAGTAGCTTTATTTGGTACGATTTGGTAAATAATTTTGGAAGGATAATTTTCTGGAGTAATAGTTCCTTTAGGGGATGGTTTGATAGTTCTTTTCTACCTTTGGGTTCCAGGTTTTTCTAAAACAAAATTGTATTTTTTCTTATTTTGGAAAGTATTGGATTTTGGCAGAAAATTATTTTGTTAGGATAGTAGTTCTTTTAAGGATTGATTTGATATTTCTTTCCAGAGAAATTGGAATTCTACAATTGAAACCGTAGTAATTTATAAATATTTATATAGGAGCTACTCGAATTAAATAAATTCATTCTTTGCAAGAAATGATCATGGAAAAAATAATACATTACTATAAAAGTAGTTCTACTCACGAATAATTGATTTCAATCGAAAATGTAGGGTAAGCGTCAAAGGAAATAACAAATGAAATAGTAATCTTTCGAACATATTGAAAGATACTTGCAGAACACATTTCTAAAATATTAATATTCAATATTATATTACTATATTTATAGGCAATCGTTAAGTTTTTATCAATTTAGAGAAACCAAGGATTTTACCTGGACATGGCGACGACCGTCGAAACGGCATGGTACATCGCCTGTTTCCCTCTGTGTTAGTCAGCATTCGCAAAACAACAATTCCAGTTACTCAAAACTTCTCGTTAGCACACGGACAAAACACACTATCGTTACATGAAAAGGAAAAGAAACAAACAAAACAAAAATTGATTAGTACCATTCATACAAAACGTCACATTTTAGTTTAGTAAAATAAATCTCTATTAGTTATTTGTTTCCTTATAAATTTATATACTTTCATCTAAAACCTGCCACATCTTGCATTATATACTGTATTGTCAGAGACTGATAATAATTAATACGTCGAATGCCATGGGGATCACCGGTGACCAACCAAATAGAATCACTATAATTCATTCAATTAAACGATGATTATTTGAAAACATATCTGTATTATAAACTATGCTATCCAATGCGATGATATTCAGCTAGATGAACGTGCAATAATAATAATATAATTCAATGAAATGATTCAATATTATATTTTCCCTATTTTCTGTAGTTTACTCTATAAAATCGTGTGGAATTCAACGTGTCAACTCTTTCCGCTTCTATGTCGAATATGACAGATTTATTCGAAAGAGTGACATTTTTTAATTGTATTATGTTACACTATTTTTAATAGTACCGGTAAAAGTAATTGTTTATGCTGTTTGCTATTAACTAATTGTCTTTCGAAACGCATTTCAAGTAAAGCACTTAAAGTAACACAGAATTATGGAAAAGCAAACGTGAAAGGAACTCGGAGTGCAAAGGGTAAACCCTTTGCGGACGAAGGGTCCTTGAAATGTAGATAACTTCCAAGCAGATGAAGCTAAATTATTTATCGACTGCTTAAATAATGAAAAAAAGAGGAGGCTACGTACTGATCTCTTGCTGTTCGAGTAATTCGATCGTTTCTGGATTGAACAAAATTCAAAAATTTATGGATTGAAAAAAATTCAAAAATTTGTGGATTGAAAAAAATTCAAAAATTTGTAGATTGAAAAAAATTCAAAAATTTGTGAATTGAATTGAAATATGAGCACTTCATCGTGTCGAAATGTCGACATTCGTCCGCGAAGGGTTAAAATAGCTCGTTTCATAGGGAGGTTTCAGCAAAAATTGACTGACGTGAATTTGTTAAGAACGCAATTTTTGAAATATAATATGGAGACTGACTTGTCCGCGGATGGTGGTGTCGTCGGCGAACTCGTCTTCAGACTCTTGAACGCTTTCAGCCATTTGTGCTTGGTGCTTCCGGTCGAGCCATTCGACATCTTCCGGCTGGTCACCCCATCCGGTTGACCGGCTTCTCCTCCACTGAACAGCTCTTTCTGTAAATCGAAACGATTCTCGAATGAAATACGAGCCTCGCGTGGCACAGAGATATTATTATAAATTTACGTTGAAAAATGATTATTTTTAAACCTGAACTTAATTATTGGTTGAACGTTTTCATTTCTATCGACCCTTCTGAGTAATTTGACATTTAAAGGAAATTGAATGTTATCCATTTTTTAAAGATGAAAAGGAGCTTTCATTATTTTTGAAGAATTACTGTCTAAATTTCATTTATATTATTGTCATTGTCTACATTATTACAGTTTCAAGAAAAGTCGAATTTTATTTTTAGTATTGGATAATTGAAAGAAATAGCGAATAATATGTTTGTAGTTGATTATGACTTATTGATAATTCCTTGTTGAAATGTATAGCATGATTTTTTTAAAAATTTGTTAATTATAGAAATAATAAGTAGAACACAGTTTAATCTATTTAATTATTATTGAAGTGTCCAACAAAACATCGTAAACTACAGGTTAAATTTAGGGAAATTGTTTAAAAATGGTAGAGATGAAAATAAAGGTGACTGTGGACAAAGAGAATAAAAAAGTAATTGTTCTTGTGCATGACAATATTTCAAAACGTTTCAACTGTAAAATTATTCATTCGGGGAAAATAATAAACATTCCATTTTGTTTTGCATCGATCAACTGAAGCCATGAATTCCAAAACAGCACAAGTTCACTTTTTGACACTATATATAATTTTAATATAAAATATTTAATAATATTTCAAATATTTTAATGACATATAAAACAGCGTGAGAATCTGTATTTTTTAAGATTAATAATATTCGTAACAGCACACGTCCTTAACATGTTTGGTTTTGGAACTCACCAACAAAATACTGTGAACGTTGAAATGAGTTTCAAAGCTACGTATAAAATCATTGAATATAAAATAATATTGTAACTGTAAGCACAACAGCAAACAAATTAACTACGCAATCGTTCCCATTTAAAGGAAGAGCTAATAATTTTAATATTCACGGAATAAAATCAATCTATAACAGCGAAATTGCTCTAAAATCTGAAAAATGTCAAAATATAAAAAAGTATTTGTCATCGATAAGCCCGAATCATCGTCCATACTTCGAGAATTTATTATAAAAATGAGAATCTATTCAGAGCACCAAGAATGATAATTCCCACAGTGAAATGTGGGACTGTGGGACTGGCTGACTGGGAAATGGCTTAAACTAATTAGCTGTTTCACCCCTTTGAAAAGTGTATACGTGTTCATATTTAAAAAGAATGTTTTCAAAAATTGTCATTCAAATAATGTGTACTTATAAAATTGGTTCCTTCAAAAATGAATATTCCTCTAACCAATTAGCTGTTTTTAGATGAGCATACTCGTCATAACTTAAAACCTTGCTGTTTCTTCATGACGAGTGTACTCATCGAAAACAGCTAGCTGGTTAATTGGTTTTCTTGTTCGACGGAAGAAAAATATTGGATATTCGATGGATGTTAATTTCGGTCGATGGAAACAGGCATGTTTCCGGTTCACTTGTTTGACGGGTCGTGCACGACCAACTGGTAAATAGGCGGACCAATGAAAGAGGAAGCCAGCGGACGGTTTTAATGCGACGAAGGAATCGGCATTAATTGGATTCGACGGTGAACACGTGATGGCCCGTCCCGATACGCGTTCATCTATGCACGTGCTCGCGTGTGTGCATTCTGTGGACACTTGGTTCTATCCTACTTCCATTGTTTCGAATGGTTTAATCTAGGGGAAGGTGCAATTGTTTCGAATATTGCACGCAGTCGTGCTGATACAGTCGAACATCTACGAAAATGAATGTTTTCGTGTAGGACAATGCTTCAGAAAAAGATCGTTAAGCAAATGCTAATTCTTTTAGTAAATTACTTAGTACTAAACTGGAATTATGAATTGAGAATTAAACTATTACGAAATAGAGCGAAGAAAAATTGTTAAACAAATGGCAGTTGGTTTAGTAAATTATTTTGTATTAAATTGGAATTATGAATTGCGAATTAAGAAATCAATTATAAAATAGAGCACAGAAAAATTGTTTGAAGATTATTTAACTACAATTTTGAATGAAAATTCAATCGTCTGATACTACAAATAAAATCTTTGTAATTATATAATCACTTATAAACCTTTGAATCGTTGCCAATGTTTATAAATAATAATTTATGGCATCTTACTAACAAAAAATAGATTTATTTCTAACAAATTTCAGTTCTGACAGAAATTACGAAAAATTGTTTGGCTGAACGTTCGGAAATTCATTTATCGTCTCTTGATTGCGATTCCAGTGAAAAATGTTCTCTCTACATTTTTAATAGATATTTCGTTGTATATTGCAGATTAATTGACTGTGAATATTGGAAAAGGTATTGTTTGTTCTCTCGTTTGAGCTGCAATGAATGTTACTGTCGGAGCTTGAGAGGCTGCTATTGCTCACAAACAAGTCGCGAGGTATGATCGCATTGTATCGGAGCGCGTATATATCGTTGGGACTTCATTCATGCACTGGCGGTGCATCGACCACACAAACTGCATTCAGTGTCACCCGACAATGCACTATTCAACACGTTTATCATCTGCAGAAAACGAACGGATAAAAAGTAACTGGGAATAAATGCGAGGTTTTGTTGGCAATAACAATAAATAGTTGGACCACAATGGCAGAAACAAGAAGAAGTAGAAGAAGAAGAAGAAGAAGAAGTAGAAGAAGAAGAAGAAGAAGAAGAAGAAGAAGAAGAAGAAGAAGAAGAAGAAGAAGTAGAAGAAGAAGAAGAAGAAGAAGAAGAAGAAGAAGAAGAAGAAGAAGAAGAAGTAGAAGAAGAGCAACAACAACAACAACAATAATACAAATTATAATTAGCAATCATAGTATAAATGCATTATTGTACAAGGACAAAATGAAATACACAAAAATAAAAATAAATAAGGTACGAAGAGACTCAAGTTAATTTTATTTTTGTTTAATTCAACTTTATTGTGAATCGTACAAGAAAATTTGTAAATAATTGATATTGAGATTGATAATGAACCTTTATTGCATACTTTCAGTACAAAGTGTCAAGATAATGGAAAATACAAATGCAAATTGCTTTGATGCAAGGAAATGTAAATAAAAACAATTTAATTATGCATTAATATATTAGATAATTAAATTGTTGTAATGTAAGTAATGTTTCAATTGTTATAATGCGAATAATCTGAGGGAAAGTCAGTTACACCTGATCGGTCTTATCGTTATTGTAAATTCTCATTGATCTGAAGGAGATGCGGAGGGCAGCCGTGGAAAGTGAATGAAGGGTGAAAGTGCAATAGCCGCGCGGTATTTCAAGGACCTAGTTCCAGAATGGCTCCGACCTCCCGAGAGATTAAGAATTAATACGAACATAAAAGTTTCAAACACCAGAAAAATCTCTGTCCGAAATTCAAATAATAACATTCCTAACACAACAAAAACTTCACGTTGCATAATCATTAACTCCAGCAAAATTAAAACAATTTCCTGGTATTCCAAATCCCTTCGAAATGACCAAACATAAATTATCAACAATAACAATAAAATGGAAAAATGACAAAAAAACGAAGTGTTTACAATAAAGACACATTCAATTACCAAAATAATATCAGAAATATCCTAAAAATGATCAAACACCAATTGTCAGACACAATCGAGAAAGTACCAAGAAGAAACAGTATCAATAAAGCACGTCCCACTAAACTAACAAAATTAAAGCAACTATCAAAACAATCTCCGAAATGCCCTAAAAAACAAACAGCAACGATCAGATACAACTATAACAACACAACGAATTCATAAAAACAAAAAGGAAATACCGAACCAAAAACAAAAGAAAAAAACAAATAGAAAATAGAAATATACAAGGAATATTACAATCACTGTTCACCGAGGAAATATCGGGGACCATTAAAACCTGCGGCAGGGATCATCCCAAAATCATCTCACTCCCGAAAAGCGACTCCACACGCGTCGCCATGCGACCGATCCACCGGCTGCGTGACGCGGTTTCAGAAGAGTCCATTCTCCCGCAGCCCTGGGGATCCCGCGCCTCGCCACCATATAAACAATTTCCAGCGGGCACGTGTTCGAAACCATGTCCACTCGGCACGTGTCCACATAGCTCACTGCCTCCGGGAACCCGGAACCGAGTCACATGACCGGGTGATCCCCGAAAAAAAGAAACAAAGGAAACGCACTGAACTAGCCGACAACTAACAACGGAACTCTAGCGGGAACCCGGATCCTCTAAAACTGAAGGATGTCCCCACTCTGTAGTCCGCAATAGGATCGAAGAGAAAACAGCGACGACACGTAGGAACCGAATGATAATCCTTGGTTCGCGTGTTGTTTGACTGGCTTTCTTTCATTGAGGAAGTCCGGCGTTGCATAGCAACAATCGCCGGACTTCCTCAATGGAGGAACACCAGGATGCTTTCAGGTGGATGATTCGAGCGAAGTGGCGCGTTGTCTGTGCCGATTGGGAGGGTCCTGCCAGTCGATCAATGATTTATAGGGGATCCCGTTGCTCGGACAGGTGCACGAACGGAGATACTAACGACTCGTGTACGTAACGTCGTCCAGCCCATGTCTGCGAGAGGAACCGAGACGCAGGCGGCTGCTGCTACCCTGACCTAGGAAGGCGGACTCGAACGAGAGGAGGCCGGGAATGGATTTTCAGACGCGGAGCGTTGGACGGTGACCCAGTTGTGAGGGCGCATGTCGCGCGATTGCGCGCCGTATTTATCCGCGACGCGCGGTTGGAACTCGGTTTT